CTGTGATTTCCATTAACTTAATGTTTCATTAAACATCCTCACTGTACCTCTATGTTTTTTTACTTTTTTTTCCACATTTTCCATCCTTTGTCTCTTTATACCTTTTGGGGGGAGGGAATAAGTTTATTCTGGCCTATTTCTGACACAACAGTTCTCTTTCAGCTGTCAAGCCTATTAACAAATGTGACATTTTGGTTCTTATATTTTTAAGTTTTAGAATTTCTATTTGATTCCTTTTTTTCCCCCCAAAGAACCAGCTTTTGAGTTTTATTGATTTTTTCCTATTATTTTTCTGTTTTCAATTTTATCAGTTTCTACTCTAATTCTTATTATTTATTTTCTTTTGCTCACTTTAGGCTTAAACTGCTATTCTTTCTTTAGTTTCCTAAAGTGTAAACTAGTTTATTGATTTTAGATCATTTTTTATTTTCTAATATACACATTCATCACTTTAAATTTCTTTGTAAACACAGCTTTCACTGCATCCTACAAATTGTGATAAATTGTATTTCCATTTTTGCTTAGTTCAAAGTATTTAAAAATTTCTATTGAAACTTCTTTTACTCGTGAGCTATTTAGAAGGGTGTTTTTTCCCCAGATATTTGTGTACTTTCCAGCTATCTTTCTGTTATTGATTTCTAATTTAATTCCACTGTAGTCCGAGAACATATTTTGTATGATTTCTATTCTTTTAAATTTATAAATGTGTGTCTTTTGGTGGTCTATCTTAGTAAAAGTTTCATGTGCGCTTTAGAAGAATGTGTATTCTGCTGTTGTGGGATGGTGTATTCTAAGAGTAAATGAGATCAATAGACTGATAGTTTTGGTTAGCTCATCTATAGCCTTACTGATCTGTCTGCTTCATCTATCAATTACTGACAGAGAGGTGCTGAGATCTCCAATCATAAAAAATGATTTTTTAAATTTCTCCTTTATGTTCTATCAGTTTTTGCCTCATGTATTTTGAGGTATTTGATTCTTTTAAAAAATCTTATATATTACTTTCTAGTTCCCTGTCAAAAATTACAATTTGGGGGCAGGCCCATGGCTTGCCCGGAAGAGCGTGGTGCTGACAACACCAAGTCAAGGGTTAAGATCCCCTTACTGGTCACCTTTTTAAAAAAAAAAAATTACAGCTTGGCTTTTATATGATTGAACATAGTAAGCACAGTCGTTTTGCACTAGAACCACTGGAATCACTGTGGGTCTGTTTCTGTTATCTATAGTGCAGAGCATAATGTTTAAAAATTATTAGTAGGAATAATTTAAGGTCTTAGGGAATTTTCATTAACTTTTGCAGGTGCCTTAAAGTTCTAGCAATCTGATATAACCTTAATCCCATTTCAAGGCCATGCTGCAGTCTCAACAAGGGTTGATTTACTTCCATTTTATCCTTGTTTTTGGAGTTTCCTTATTGGTTCCAGGCCAAAACAGAGAGCAGCTTACTAAAATTCTTCCTTTCACATGCCCTAGACTCTGACATCTACTTTTCTAGCTTTCTTAGGCTGTCTGAATCAGCCTTTCATCTGCTTCTTAGGAATGGAGAATTTCTCCAGTCCAATGCAACCCTGAACATTGGCTTTACCATCTCTGGATTCTGTTCCTGTCCTGGATCTTGACCTCGGTCAGTTACTCTTCCTTTTCTTGCTAGCTCCTTGATGCTTTAAAAAAGATTTTAGATAATTTTTAATCCACCTTTTAAAGATATATCAGACACCACTTACGGCTCTTGCA